AATTGCGAATAATTTTTGAGACAGAGCAAACGTATCCGAAAATTGAGAAATCAGTTGAACCGAAATATTATTTCTTGTCTTACTTATTTTCGTTCGTCGTATATCTTTTTTATGAAAATTTATTTCCAATTAAATAACAAGAAACGTTTTCCCCTGAAATACTCCGAAACCATTCGAAAGATATAAAAGAAAAACTCGAATGTCCGATTCTCCGAAAAGTTTTTTTCCGACTGAGCCTGACTACTCGGTGTAGCTTCCACATCATCAGAAGTTTTCCTGATTGCCTTTTGATCAATTGAATTGCAAAAACACGTGTTTAATTGAATCAACGCACAGAGTCTGACATGATATCATAATCTTTTTCTCCCTTAGGGGTTTCTTTTTTCAAATTTCGGAGACCGATAAATGTGTATTACAAGCTAGAAAACTCTACAGCGAAACCTTTCACACGACCACTCTGTTCGAATAAATTAGAGTTTTCAAGACCACGCTGATTCCTTTATCAGATGCTCTCCCCGTTTTTCTCAAATGAAAAACGAGAAGAATGAAGGAGGTCCCATTCCATTTTCTGAAAATTCGAGCAAGATAATAACCACCATTTTTTGGGAGCCGCCACGCAAACTAGCGTGCAAGATGAGCTTCTGGAGCAAAGATTCTCATTTTGGCTCATTTTCATGACCTCGGAGCACAGAGATTTTTGTGGTTTTTTTTCAGCATTAGTTTCCTATGTTTGACTTTTTGGAATGCTTTTGAATTCTTCAGATTCATCGATTGCAAAGCTAATTTTTTCACAAAACCATTAAAGTGAGATATCATATGGAGACTTTCAAAAAGAAACCGTTTTTCTCTAATAAAATCCCACCAACTTTGGTCAACTTTGTTCAACAATTATCTTGATTCTTTCAAAAGAAATCAAGAATTTGTCAGTTTATTAGTCAGCAAATTTTTCATTTCTTTCAAAAGAACCAAAAGAATTGAGATCACCGTTGACGGTTTGAGTGGGCTTCTAGTACAGGGTTTACGGCACCTTCCGTTTTTCAACAAAGGAAGAAGGATGTTAAGAATTTTTCTATATACACTATCAATTTTCTGATGTCTCACCTAATTTATTTTTTTCCGTAGAAAAATAGAACTAAAAAGCCCCTGTTCCGAAACTCTTTCTGGGGTTCTTCTTGCTTCAAGCGCCCACCTCCAAAAAACTGGTGCTTTATTTTTCTATTCAATTTATCCGCAGCAAACGAACCAATTTCTGTCAATTTATTCAGTCCTATATCCATTCGATTTGTTAGATTCCCGAATTCAATCAGTCGGTGTGTTCGTGTTTTCTCTTCCACCTCCTTCTTTACTCTCTTCAATCCGTAATTGCATCAGCTGGTTGAGGTTTTCTCTTCGTGATTGAGTGCCCATCACTGCGGCCAGCTCGCCCGGTGCTTTTTGGTTCTGCATATAACAATTAGTGAATTTCAAAAGTTTTAATTTTCACATCAAAGTACTGAAATTTCAAAAATTTTTGGGAGCCACGTGAATCTTTTGAATCTCCCAAAAGATGGACCGTTAAGTTTTTGGGAGCAACGTGTTTTTTCAAAAAATATAACAGAAATATTAAAACTTTCTGAATATTTTTCCCAAAATTAAAACTTTTGAAAAACACTACTTGTTATATAGACGGCAACCAGTTTATTTTTTAAGTTTGAACCACCAACAAAAAAACAGAATTGTTAGATCCGTTATGTCTGTTTGTCCACTTTATTTTTTTTCGTCAACTGACTTGAATTGCGACCCTCATAAAAAGTGATGATGTGGTCGTTGTGGAAGAAGAGAAGAAGCGAGAAGAGTATGTCTTTTCAGTTGTGCTGGAGTATGCACATACATATATAGACATGGGACCCACAACCATCTCTACATCGTCTTCTTCTGCTTCTTTTTTCGTTTTTTCGTTTCCTTCCTTTTTTGTGTTTCCCAAATAAATTGAAAATTCGCATGTCATTGGCTAATTTTTCGCGGCTCTCTCTCTCTTCTGAGGAGTCATCCCGCCGCCCGGGAGGCTCAGACGGGTGGCTCTTCTCATTTCGATTCCTTTTCTAGTGTTTTCTTGTGGTTTTTATTTTTTTTAAATATGAATCGCCCTTTTTTGTCTCTATTTTGAAACATGGGGGAAATTTGTACACCCGTTGGGAACAATTTCAATAATTCTACAAAGAGATGCGTGTTCTTTTTCCTTTGTAAAATCTGGATTCGGCAGAAAATTCGATATCTACTATATTTCCAGTACAACATGATCCTCTATGCAAGTTTATTTCAAAACATCTCGAATTTCGAATAATTTCCCATCGCTTCCACCCACAACTCCCAATACCCCAGTCTCGGTGTCAACATTCTTGTTCAATCAGTCTCTGTTTGTGGTCTACAACTAGAGAAAAAATTCCCCTGTTTATTTCATATCAAATTCGATTTGTACATCCCGACATTTCGAGATAGTTTCCCTCCGAAATCTCCTTCAAATTCAATTTCAAAAATCTCTTGATATTATAAAGAGCCTTCATTCTAGAAGGATGTCTCCATATCATTCTCGTTCCATTTCACATGTACATTCATTATAGAAAACACATATCTCGATTTCATTCATGAAACCATTTTTGAACATCTAGAAAACCCCTATTTCCGAAAATTGAGAATTTGAGAAATATGTAAGGCTTCATTGAACAATATTGTAGATGTTGAAATCTATGAAACATGAGAACATTCCTCCTTGATTGTAGGAAACCTTCTTGCTGATATGAAACCTCGAAACGCGTGCCAATAACCTTCTTGACTTGCAAGTACATCATCATTGGAGGCGAGTCATGATGACGAAAAGATTCCATGAATTTCTAAAAAAACACGTCATCTCATCCTAGATACTCACTCAAAAAACCTATATCGGTATTTACGGTTTTCTTCTTCAAAAGGTTCTCAAATGACACACTAATTTTTTAAGATAAGTGGTATTTTTGAAGAGCCTTCAGTCAGACGAATTCTAATATTTCTTCTTACTCATTTTGACTTTTCTATCGTTCTGGTAGACCAAAAAATTGGAGTTGTGAATGAGAAACGCGGAAGGTCCCACGACGACAAATACCGTACTCTACAATTTTTTCTGGATTTATTTTCTCGACTTTCGTGCGTTTTCAATGCATTTTCTCGTTAATAAAGGTTTATATTTTCCGAGGAGACAAAAGTGGAAAGCGAGAAAATGAATTCTGAAAAAAATTTTAGGTTACGGTAGTTTTTGTTGTGAACCTTCGGCCACGGTCTCCGTCGTTTCTCCATACCTCGCATTATTTTGTACCAGAATAATACCATAAATGAGATTTGAAGTTTTCACGATAGAAAAACCCCACTATATTGTGAAACCAATTGTGGTTTTTTTGTTTGCTCTTCAAATTCATTGTCATGCTTTATTTACTGAACAAAAATATTATGTAGAACTGTTATGAAATAAGTACATACTGCATGGAGAACTGTACAGAATATTTGAAATCTGTCTCCACATCTAGTCCATTAAATACGGATTACGTTCATGGGTTCATAGTTTTCCATGGGTTTTCCTCGCATTTGTTTTTTGTTCACACCTCAAAACCCTATTCATGAATTAACAAAAAAAACCAGAACCTTTTCTTTTCAATTCTTTCAAGTTGGTTTTTTTGTTCCTTTTCGGAACCAAAACCTTCAAACTTCTGAAAAAAAGACGTTTTGAATCCTGGACGCTGTCAGAATATGAAGTTTTGATCCATGTTAGAAAACACTCTTCATTGTTAGCTTCCCTAAAAATTTTCGTGATTTCGTGAGAACAAAAAAAAAGAGAGTCGTATGGCTCCGATTAGAAGCTCCCTCCGGTATTGCCTAATTAGCACACATACACACACCCGCCAACCAAAAACTTCAGCTTCTTCTTTCCTTTTTTTTCTTCTTTTCTTTTCATTCTTATTGACTAACGACGTGAAAGTTTTGATTGATTTGTCTCTTCCCCATCTCTTCTAGTAGTACAATCAAACTCCCAAGTCCCTTTTCGATTTTCTTTCTTTCTTTTTCTTCTTCTTCCACATTTTTTCCATATCTCTTCTCATTTCGAATGCATGTCCCTTTTTTCCATTTACGTATTACTTCTGTCTTTTTTTTCGTTTGGGTTGTTTTATTTCCTTTTCTCCTTCTCTTGAATTACTTACACCACACACTTTTCTTCCGATCGAATACTCTACTCTCACATTCGAGAATTTCCGTGTCCAGATGGGGCACCTAGATGCCTTTTGGCTCTTTTTTCTACTACCAGGAGAACTAGAGCCTTTTAAGGATATTGAGGATATTGAGAATAGGCAACACGAAGAGTTTGTTGACTTTTTGACTAGGATCGGAAATGCATATGCATTTAAGTATGGCCCAAGGCTATACTCTTTCACTTTGTTGTCTCTGTTCTTGATCACAAAGTAACCACATAGTGTTCATTTTTATGAACAACTTGTCTACTTCCTTTTTTTGTCTGTATTCAAATTGTCTCGCTTATACATAGGTATTTATTGGAAACTTAATTTCCAACAACCCACACAACCTTTATTCCCTTGAGAAAACATATCAGGGTTCAAATCCACCAACACATTCGTTTTTTTTCGGAAAGTGGATGTTTAGTCAAGAAAGGCCATATTGAGAAAAAAAAGCAAATTCTCATTCCTATCAAGTTTCTTCCCGAAATCTTTGTCTTCTCCCCATCTTCCAAACGTCATTGTTCTTCGTTTTGTTGTGCTCCATCAACTGTGAAATTGCTGTCATTTCGTTTGAAAATCTGATTTATAAATCCTCTCGAGCCTAAAAATCGCTAGAAATTCAGTTTTTGGGAGTCACATCATCCTTTTCTTTTCTCCATAAGAATTCCTTTTATTTTAGACTGAAAAGCGTTCAACTGAAATCTCTCCTATTTCGTCTCCCCGTTTATCCGGGACGGTTGCCAAAATTCGAAAAAAACGGGGATGTCGGCTCGGCGCGGCGCTCCCGGCGGCCAACGGCATCCCCGTCCGTATGCCGTTGAGCCGACTGTTGATATCAATGGTCTGGTATTGCCAGCTGATATGAGTGATGAGCTTAAAGGACTTAATGTGGGAATTGATGAAAAAACTATCGAGGTAATCATGAATGACAATAGAGGGTCTACATAAAGATTTGAAAAATTAAAATATCCGTATTTTTAGTCGTTGGAATCAACTCGACGCATGTTGGCTCTTTGCGAGGAAAGCAAGGAAGCTGGTATCAAGACTTTGGTCATGCTCGACGATCAAGGAGGTATATTATCACCGTTATTCAAGACACATTAATTATTTGTACACTTTCAGAGCAACTCGAGCGTTGCGAGGGTGCGCTTGATACCATCAATCAGGACATGAAAGAAGCGGAAGATCATTTGAAGGGAATGGAGAAGTGTTGTGGACTGTGTGTTCTTCCATGGAACAAGACTGACGACTTCGAGAAGAACTCGGAGTATGCGAAGGCGTGGAAAAAGGATGACGATGGAGGTGTGATCTCTGATCAACCAAGGATCACGGTCGGAGATCCGACTATGGGACCTCAAGGAGGATACATCACCAAGTGAGTTGTTCTTATAGAAATTTAAAAATGCTCAAGTTTTGCTTCTCAGAATCACGAACGATGCTCGTGAAGACGAAATGGATGAAAACATCCAACAAGTCTCGACCATGGTCGGAAACTTACGTAACATGGCAATTGATATGAGCACTGAAGTGTCCAACCAGAACAGACAACTCGACAGAATTCACGACAAGGTGAGTATATTCTCTATTCTATTTAGAAGGCATTTCAATTTTCAAAATTTCAGGCTCAATCGAACGAGGTCCGTGTGGAGTCTGCCAACAAACGCGCAAAGAATCTCATCACCAAATAAGGAACAACTTCTCAAAAAACGTCTCTCAATCTCTTTTATTTTATTTTTCCATTTCAGTTTTTTTCTGCATAATTCTTCTCCCTTGACTCAGTATTGCTTCGCACTTAGGACCATTCGGAAGCAGACAAAAAAAACAAACACGAAAAAAACCAAAAATAGAAATCTCTATGTCCAATTGAATAATCGAAAATCCCCGTTTTTCAAACTTTTAGCTAATTAAAACACCTGGTAGTTGTGACGAATCCTCCCCCGATTCTTATGTATTTCAACTCTTGAGAGATGCTATTTTTCTATATAATAAAACGAATGTGAACAAAACTATTGACATTGAATAATAAATTATTTAAAAACTCATCGTTTTCAAAAGGGACTCAAAAAAAAACCAAAATTGGCGAACAAGGGACGAGGATTTGAGAAAAACCACTGTCGGTCATTTAAAAACGGCGTCCCTGCCATGGCATAGTTTTCTCACTGCGCGGGAATCCAAATCCTCGTCTATCCTCGCAACTCTTTTGCGAGTTATTAAATTTTACGGAGACTTCAAATTTTTAAAACGTTCTTTTGCAACAATACTAGGAAAACACATTAAAACAATTTAATACAATAAAACTTTTGTTTTGAGTCCCCCTTTCATTTTCTGATCTATGAAATATAACTGAAAGAATCAAGATTTGGTATTCTGTGCTTTAGAGCCCAGCAATTTATCTTATGACAGAAGGAATACTTATTCTCTAATTGCAGGTGTTGTGAATGAGATGTCTGTGAGCAGTCTCACTTGGTGAAGTTAGATGAAAAGAAAAAATTATGTCTGTTACCTCAAATCTCATTTTCCAGGTAAGAGTCTAGGGTGAATTTTGATTCCGTTTCTTTAAAAATTACGTCAGTATTTTATCCGATTTTGCTTTTCACAATCCATAATTGTTTACCTGAACATTGGATATCCAAAGTCCCCAGTTTCTATAGAAACATAAGTTTCAGATGCTCAGCTCTTCTCGAGAAACCGTAGAGCAATCAATTAGGATTTTTATGGGAACTTCTGGAATCGTTTCATTTTTTATCAACTGTTTTGGCATTTATTTGATTTGTTATCATCATGGAATGATGGATGATTATCGTTATTATCTTCTTTATTTTCAGGTGATTATCTTTTCTTGAAAATGTATCTCGATAATGTATTTTCAAGATTGTTCTTTTAATATTCGATTTTTATTTTTCTATCCTTATGGTCCCTATCCCATTGTTCCCAATAATGGGAGGCTACTCAATAGGATTTCTCAATCAATTTTTTGGAATTCGTACTCATTATCAGATGGTTTTAACTCTTTGGTGCGTGGGTAATACGAATACCTGTGTTTTTATCAGTTTGCTTAAACGACATCAAGTGGTGGCAGCTATTGAACAGGTTCATTCGATCCTCAATGGATCAAAAACCAAAAAAATTGTTTTCAGAAAAACATGTTGCCTGCTCCAATGTTGAAATTTTCACAAATATTTTCCAATGTTTTACCGTTAGTTGGAACAATAGCATACGCTTTTTCAGAACCTAATGATTCCCAAAAAAGAAAAATTATAGATGAAGTGGGGCATTGTACATCGAAAAAGCGAATATTGAGTTGTCGAAGTTTCAGAAGTACTCGTCAATTGCCGCGTGGCTTTCTGAAGTCAAAGGAATCGCTATATACGACATTGACGTTAGTCTGAATCCTTCGTTTTTCTTTCTGACATTTGGAATCATGTCTGGGACATTCATTCTTTCGACATCTTATGCTATACTTTACACACAATTATATGTAATGCTGAATTCAATCAAATCTAAAATATCCCACAAAACATTCAAAAAACATTCGGTAGCGATTGTGAGCACAGTAATGCAGGTATTTCCTCTAAGAAGTCCACATAAACCTTCATCTTTGAGCCCAGTTATCTCGATCCATGTGAGAGAAATCAAAAATTTGTCAACTAATAAAATAATGGGCATATTATGATAAATAACATATGTTGACAAATTTTTGATATCTTTCAAAGGAATCGAGATAATTGAGCTCAAATTTGACAGTGTGAGCGCCATTGTATTACAGATTTTACAGTAATACTGATCATTTCAGAATTTGGTTTTCGTCATTTTCTTCGTGTCACCTATTTTCTTGCTCGCAATTGTTATTTACACTGGAAGGGATGCATCCGGTTCGTTGGCCTAATTTCCTTCATTAACTTTTGAACTTCTATTTCAGCTGCTTGTATAATTATGGTCGTTATTATTTCTTTTCATTCATCTGTTAATACTCTTGTAATGTGTTTTACATTTCCATCATTTCGAATTGCGATTCTTTTATTTCCGTTTAGAATTTGTAAGAACCAAAGTAGAAATGTGAGTTTTTTGGAAAACATATTTTTGTTGAATTCAAAAAATATTCATTCAGATAACAATCGTACCTCCAGTCAACAACATGAGCGGAACAGTTCAGAGGGCAAAGCTGGCGGTTCAATAACACTTTAGAAATAGGCTTTATAAATTTCGGGATCAGAAACATGAACCCGGAAGAAGTCGAAAATCCTAACGAGATCCATGAAGCTTTGTCGCTCAAAATGAATTTTCTGAACGTTCAGTCTATGTGAAGATTATAAATGCGTAATGACAAACCTGTGCTGCATTTATAATGTTCATGATTTTAATAAGTCTAGATGCATAATTGGGTAGTCGAAGTTCTTCGATGTAGTAAATATGAAGTTCATTGGCTAATGTTTCTTGTTCTGATTCACTAGCTTTCAGAACATCTCCTTGCAGTTCTTTTCCTGAATTTAGAATTATTTATCTTGGAAAGATTTATTTAATGAATGATCGATCTATACTCATTCAGATGTTCCGTAAAAGCTGTATTAGAAAACCTGTATTATGGCCCTCCTAACTTTCCCGTATCAGCCATTTTTTTTTTGGGTTCCTGTCAGAGATATAAAAATTTGTCAACTGGCAAACTGTTTATCAAAATTTCAGAAGTGTTTTGTCAGTTGACACATTTTTGTTTTCTTGCATGGAAGTTCAAATAATTGAGTTCAAAATAGACAGGTGGGGGACCTTCTAATATAGGTTTTACAGTAATTCTTCTCCTACTAACCGGCAACCTGCCAGGACATTTGAGCCAACATGAAAGCAGTTTCCACACTGGTCAACTCCAATTCCACCAATGGTTTACCAACTTCTTCCATCATCCGCGTATTGAAATTCTCCATGAAACTGTAAATCAATCCAATAAGCGTCTTCAAATTCTAGTACTTACAACTTCATTCCTTCCGCTTTCTTGTAGATAAAAGCAGCACAGTCCACATGAATTTTGTTCAGATACGCAGCTAACCCAGGAACTAATGTCACAATTTGATCTTCGTACATTCGTTTTCCAAATATTTGAGCTGTTGATACGTATCGTTCCAGACGTTTCCATTGAACCCAAATGGATTTGAGCATTTGCATTTGGTCTTCGTTTCGTAGAGATCGAAATGGAACTGAGTGCATGAGAAACTTTGTTATTGACTTAATTTGATCGTTTCCAGTCATCAAAATTTCTCGCATAGATATTGTTTGAACAAACTGAAAGAAAATACAATATTCGATTTAAAAAAAACTATTTCTGAACTCACTTTGATCACATTACTATGATGTATCTGTCTATATTCTATCAACGCATGGTTCATTCTTGTTAGTGTGTTCAAATCTCTAACATCGTCTGACGGAATAAAATCATCCAGAACGGAAGTGATGTTGTTCAGAAGTCCAGTTATATCTAACTTCACGATTGGTTCTCCTTTTTCATCCGTTTGCACTTCATAAGTTACATCTTTAGTCTGTCGAGCACATGTTGGTTGTTCCATTTCAAGAGGAGGACTAGGATCAGTCGGATGATCTAGATACTCGGCTTTCATTTTTGGGGATGGTTCTTTGTATAATGAACAGCTGAATCGTAGTTGTATTTAACATCTGGAAAGGGGATTTAAAAATAACTATCATTCAGAATCAAAACTTACTTTCAGGAGTCATTCCACACGATAAACACTTTTGGTAGCGACAATATCTACAATTAAACCTATCCTCATTGTTTGTAGTGCACTGTTCGTTTTTTAGACGACAAGAGTATTTTTTCCCGAGTACTGTGGTTCTTCTGCAGTTCAGATTATTTATCGCAAACTAGGTTCTAGGCTCTAGAGCTTACCTAAAAAAAGCTGCACATGCTCGGCAGGAAGCAACACCGAAATGAACTCCATGTGCTGGTTCACAGCAAATTTTACATGTTAAAGTGGAAGAAGTGGGCTCTTGAAGTACATTCGTGAAGGAAATATAGGGTTGAGGTAAAAATGACTAGACGGTGTGTCTTGTGCTCACTCTCCAGGTCATTTAACGATGACGATTACCACATTTGATAAGATACTACGCCGTGCCCCCTCCTGTGATCAATACTGTGATCTGTGTGACAGAGCAAACAGTTTGAATGTTTGTCTCGTGGGATAGGTTACTTGTTTGTATGTTCTATTGAACTTTTTTGAATTGAAATCAAAATAAAAACATGCTATCCATACATCAATTGAGCTTTGGAGGTGTAATAGCCAGGCCAATACAGAATGTATGTCCTGCGGTTGTCTAGCCTCAAGTTAGAAAGTATAAAAATTTTAGAAGTTTCTTCAGTCCGTCTGATTTATATTTCTGGATTATTTATGATTATTCTCAACAATCTAGTACTGTAACACCTGTAATAGAAGGGTCCCTAATTTTCAATTTTAGGTCAATTTTTTCGGTTCCTGTAAAATACATAAAAAGTTTTCATCTGATAAATTGTTTATCATAATATCAGAAGTTTTTTTTGCCAGTTGACACATGTTTGATATCTTGATAGAAATTGAGATAATTCAGCTTGGCAGATGAAGCTTGGCAGATGAAAATCTCCTGAGAATTTAAATGTCGAAATTTTGATACAGAGCTCGTGGAGTGTTTCGAATTAGATGCATTTTTTGATGAACCTTTATAAAGCTTCTCCAATTGGAAATTCACAGTAATGGGGTTATTCATGTAGCGAAAATATGTATTGAAATGCATTTCCGCGCCCTCGAAATTCAATGCATGAGCGTCGCGAAATGTATTTCAAAGCATTTCGCGACATAACTGTAAATGCATTTCAATACATCGCGTGGCGAGATATTTTTTTCTGGAAAAAGGGATGCGCCTTTCAACTTTGTGCAGGATGGGGAAAATCTTTAAATGCATTGAATTTCGAGGGCGTGGAAATGCATTTCAATACACATTTTCGCTACATGAATAACCCCATAAGAATTCGAGATTTGAGACTACGGTATGTCAAAGGCGCACGCGAAAGGCTTACTTGCGGGTCTCGAGCGGAATTACTTTGAATATTATGCTTGTCTGAGAAAAAAAGGTTAGAGAGTATTTTTTGCAGTCTTAGTACGGTAGCGATTTCGAAGCGGAGAGCCTAAATAGCACACAAACGGTGGAGACGCAGACACTTTTTCTCTGCGTCTCAACCTTTTTTTTCTCAGACAAGCATACTGTCTATTCAATAAAACGTGGGCGCGCCGCAGGTTGCAAAGTGACACGCCCCTTTTTGAAACGCGTTCCCTTTTTCCTCTTCTCACGCGTTTCATAAAGGGGCGTGTCACTTTGCAACCTGCGGCGCGCCCACGTTTTATTGAATAGACAGTATACGTTTCGAAGACAAACTTTTTGTGCGTTTTTTGTCTATTTGTCACAGACTTTTTGCGCTTTTGCGATGAAAAGTGGGGTTTTCACTTTTAAATTTAAATGTGAAAAATTCTTTTTTCGTTTTCGAAATTTTGAAAATCGGAACATCCCGAAATTTTAAAAAACGGATCAATCCGTTTTTTTCGAAACTCGGAATTTTTTATTTGTCCTTCTTATTTTCGTTTCGAACTGCGCGCTGCGAAAAGCTTGTTGCTAACATTCAGAATTAATAGGAGATACTGCCAAAAGCTTTTCCGCGGTATTCATTTGATTGCAGTTACTCTGGTAATCGGTTTCCAACCAGATTCGGGAAAATTCCGGAGCAGAAATGGCTACTTCTGGTTAGAAAATTGTCCGAATCAGGTTGGAAAATTAGCTTTTTCGGTCGGATCTGGTCAGAAAATCACCAGATCTGGTCGGAAAATGAAAAGTTTCCGAATCTGGTTGGAATTTTACTCGAATCTGGTTGGCAAATGCGCGTTACCGGATCTGGTTGGAAAATTTCCCGAAACTGGTTAGAAACTGATTACCAGAGTAGTAATTTTGTCAGCGGATTCCTGTTTCTGAACTTCAGAAGCACAATTGTTCAAAACGATTCGTCATCCTTCTCTTCTTCCGATATTTAGGTTTTTAGTGCTATCATTGAATGTCAATCGTTGAATATCATCGAAAAAATGGGCGCCATGACTAATCGCTGTAGGAAATGGGCAATATTTGAGAGAAACGAGAGGTCGTAAAACTTTTGAACAGTCGGAAAAGTTTGTTTGCTTTTTTGCCGGTAGAATTCCGAAAAATTGAGGTTTAGATCGTTGAGGATCGTTGAGGGTCGAGAAGAGAACACAACTATATCATGGTATAACCTTACTTTTATTTTATTTGGATTTCAAGATTTTTAGTTGTTTTGAAAGTTTACCAAACACTTGTCATAATTTCTTTACTGAACCGCAAACAAGAGAGATTTCGAAACGTTTCCCGACTGAGTCTCCACCCTCCCATCACTTCCCCTATAAATTGCGCTGACCTGCCTTCACTCGATATTTTCCTTCCTCACTCTATTTTTTTTTCTGTCGCCTTCAAAACTATGTTCTAGAGTTTCTCTGTCGGTTGCTTGCTTTGTTTTCTTGAGTTTCTTAGCAACCGTTGATGTTTTTCTCTTCTCCCTTTTCCACTCTCTTGCTCAGTTTCATTTTTGAACTAATTTCGCAATATTGCATATTTTTCAGAAAAAAAACCATGGCTGAGGAGTTGAACGAAGACCAAGTGGCTGCCAATTTCGATGAATCTAAGTTGAGAGATCTCTCTAAGTAAGTAAATTTGGATGTTTTCGAAAACAATGATGTTACTTTCAGCGTAGCGGCTCGCCTTCACCGAATGCAGCTTGCCGAAGATGACATGGAGATCATTGTTGTTGACGGAGAGCTCCAACGACTTCCACGCCAAATGGAGCAAGTAAAGGAAGGGCAGGTTATGAACAACGCTGGAGGATTCGTCTTCCCAGTGTCTGATGAGACTCAGGTTCGCCGCTTCTTGATCCTCGGTTCGGACAAAGGCACCTATCATCAAAACGCGGAAAAAATCACTCTCGACAATGCCCAGCGTATTGTCGAAATCATCCAGAAAGGAAAAGGACATAAGGTTCTTCATGAGCTTGCTCTTATCAACGCAGAGAATCGCAATCCAAAAATGAACTCGATGCTTTTCACTCTCGCCATCTGTGCCCGCGTTTCGACTCACGATACCACTAAAAAGAACGAATGCCCAATACTCCACACTTATTCTGAATACATTCGCGCGCTCCACGCTGCTGCTCTTCGTTTGCTTCCTGATGTTTGTCGCACGCCAACACATCTCTTCGAATTCGTCGATTACTGTCAAACCATCGCAGAGAGCACGAAAGCTGGAGGAGCAAAATCGTCCACGGGATGGGGTCGTTCGTTGAGAAACGCTATCATCAAGTGGTATAAAGAGAAGACAGCGGAAAAATTGGCTATGCTCCTCACAAAGTACCCACAACGCGAGGGATGGTCACATCGCGATCTCTTCCGTCTTGCTCATCCAAATCTTATGGACGATGGAACACATCACACCGATCGTGAAGATCGCCTTGAAAGAGAACAACTCTTCCGCTTCGCTGTCAAAGGAGATCTGGTTAAGAGGAAGAGAAAGGCTAATGATGAGGAAAAGGCCAAGATCGAGGAATCATGGGATAAGAGAGCACTGAAGGTTCCGTACACTGAGCAGCAGCTTGTTAAAGAAGAAAAGAGCAGGTCCGTTTTTTGACCACTCTTGTTTTCGTTTCGTTCTATTTCTAATTCCTAATGATAAATTTTCAGAGCTCTCGACTTGGTGGAGGCATATCTCAGCCTGAAACAGGAACAAAGCGAGGAAGTTATCGTTGAGGCAATCAAAAAGCACGGACTTGTTCGTGAGCACTTGCCAACTAGCAGCCTCAACTCAAAGCTTGTATGGGAAACACTTTTCGATGTGCCAATGCCAATGACAGCAATGATCCGCAACCTCGGAAAAATGACTCTTGTCGGGGCTCTTGATGATAACCGCGTCAAGTCAATCGTCAGCCGACTTACCGATCAAGAAGAGCTCCGCCGTGCTCGTATCCACCCGTTGACCTTGCTCACTGCTCGTTCCGTATACGCTAGAGGACGTGGAGACAAGGGAAGTCTCACCTGGGAGCCGAATCAAAAGATTTGTGATGCTCTCGAGGCTGGATTCTACAAGGCATTCGTCAATTCCCCACCAACCGGTAAACGCTACTGCTTGGCTCTCGATGTCTCTGGAAGTATGTGTTCCCCTGTCAGTTCATCGCCATTGAGCTGTCGTGAAGCCGCCACAGGAATGTCTCTAATCAATCTGCACAATGAGGCTGAAGTGAAGTGTGTTGCTTTCTGTGATAAGCTCACTGAACTGCCGTTCACTAAAGACTGGAAAATCGGACAAGTCAACGACTACGTCAACAATCTTTCCGTAAGTTTGAGTTCTCTGAATATTGATCTGAAATTTCAACTTCCTCTTTTCAGTTTGGTAGCACTGATTGCGGTCTTCCGATGACATGGGCTACTGAGAACAATCTCAAGTTTGACGTCTTCATCATCTACACTGACAACGATACATGGGCAGGAGAAATTCATCCATTCGAGGCAATTAAGAAGTATCGTGAGGCATCTGGAATTCATGACGCGAAGGTGATTGTGATGGCCATGCAAGCATATAACTACTCGATTGCTGATCCGTCCGACGCAGGAATGCTCGATATCACTGGATTCGATTCTGCAGTCCCACAAATCGTTCATGAGTTCGTCACCGGCAATATCTAAAATCTTTTTTCAACCAGTTTTTTTGTTAGCTTGTCATCCTGTTTCGGTTTCCATACTGTATTTTTTTGTACATCCATAAGTTATAATAAAGGTAAAAAGAAAATGTTTATTTTTGATGGAGAGATATGGGTAAGAAAGTTGGGAACGGGGGCGAAAATTGTTGTACATAGTGTGAAAAGAGGATTATATATGCAGAATTTTCACAACCTCTGGTTGTTATGAATAATATTATTTTCTGGAGTGTAAAACAGGTATGGAATTGTGTGGAGCGAAAGAACTACGGTTTCAGAACGAACGAAGGAATCCAGAGTGAGAGAGAGAGAGCAAGTTCATTGAGAAGAAGAGGCAGACGAAGGGAGATGGGGAATCGGAGAAGAAGGAAAACAACTTTGAAATCTGGATTAATAATATATGATAAGATAGGCCCTGAATGTCAGGAAAATGATGACAAGAATAATGAACAAGTAAAAAAATATTATACAATCGAAGAGTATTTTTATTCAGCCATCCTCTCGTCCTCTTCACTGGCTTCATATATTCGATTGATACTCCCCACAATGTTATGGAATGAAAACTGGGTGAAATTGGACTGCATTTCTTCCTGCTCGTCAACAGTTGGTAGATGGCCACTCTTGTGAGGAGGTGTCAGTTGAACGGGTTGTGAAGTGAACTCCTGCAAATATAGAATTTAGTTAGTACGAAAAATAGTATATATTATTACGTTATCGAAGTAGCTAGTGTCCGTTTCCGAATTAACATTCGGCTTGTATGGTGGCTCAATCTCCTTGCGGTACATTGCCTCCCAATCGACAGACTTGAAGAAATCTTGTCTGCAGATTTCCATAGCATCTTCTGATCCTCCTCCTGTTCTCTTAGCTGGATCTTTGACAAGAAGTCCTTGAAGAAGCAACTTTGCCTCCTGGCTCAACTTGCTTGGGAATCGCAGGTCACCGACCATGATGAGCTCGAACAGTTTGTTGTGGTCTTTGGAGTAGAATGGAAGGCGTCCGCACATCATTTCGTACATCACCACTCCGACTCCCCACCAATCAACACATCGTCCGTAATCATTGTCTTCGAGAACCTAAAAATGATCTCTAAATAATTCATCTGTACCAAGACAAATACCTCTGGAGCAAGGTATTCTGGAGTTCCACAGAAGGTGCTGGTCTTATCTCCAAACTTGATTTCTTCTTTGCACAATCCAAAATCGGCAATTTTGATGTGTCCGTCCTTGTCGAGAAGCAAATTTTCCAGCTACAAAAGCTACATCAAAACAACTGGAACACACACATAACCGCCGAATGATGAATCAGATGTTCTAGGTCAATTAAAAAACGATTCATGTTCTACAACTATCCGCTGAATATCTGATTTTCTTAGATCTACATAATTCTAACCTATCAAAAAAGCTGTTCCGAACCTTCAAGTCGCGATAGACAATGTTATTAGCATGAAGATAACCGAGAGCAAGAACAATCTCGGCTCCATAGAAACGAGCGCGGGGTTCCGAGAATCCTTCTTTGTTCATCTGCACCTCCTTGTTCAGGTGGTAATAGAGGTCTCCGCCAATAGCAAACTCCATCACAAAGCAGAGACGATCATCTGTTTGGAATGAGTATCTCAGCTCCTGCAGGAAAAGAAGAACAGTGAGGAAAATGAGAAATAAGGGGATGATTTAAACGAATTGAAATAGGTAACAGAGTTAGGAGTGAAACGGAAAAAGAGAAGCGTGTTTACTGGATAGATAATAGTCTACTATATAAACAAAAACAACACAATATTTAGAGCGTGGTAGGTAAGCATGTCAGTTCTCTATGTAAGTTCTCTAGAACCACATCGTGGCTTACAATTAGCTCTACTAACTTATATGATGAGAACGGATAGTTGTAGAACATGTTTTATCGAACGATCTTGTCCAGATTTCTTCTGATTCATCAATCAGCTCAAAGTTGGGCCAACCTTCATGTCACGATAGACAACGTTGTTGAGATGCAAGTAGCCAATGGCCATTACAATTTCTGCTCCATAGAATCTGGCTCGAGATTCAGGGAATGTACCACACTTGCGAAGATGAGTGAACAACTCTCCTCCATTTGCAAATTCCATGACGAAACATAAATGCCATTGTTCTTGGAAACTATATTTCAGTTCCTGTAATACCGACAACACACACTATGGGGTCAGCACAAATGAAACAGAGTTTCAACTGATAGGATAACACGGTATGAGAAAACGTGCAAGAAGTTGGAATTTAAGAGTGATGAATCGGTCAATGAGGAGATGTAGTTAAAGGGACTTACCGTAAGGAAAGGATGCTTGCATCGTTGAAGAACTCGGTTTTCTGTCATTGTGTGAGCTACTTCTTCACGAGCAATGATCACTTCCTTCTTGAGAATTTTGATAGCGTATAGCTTCTGCTCTCGCTTTTCCTTGCAAAGAATCACTTTTCCAAAGGTTCCCTTGCCGAGAACTTTCAGGAAGTCGAAATCCTCCATTGTCTGAAACGATTGATGATGGAACGTTCTATGCAAAACAGATTTACAATTTTGTCTCGTTTCGCAGCATCACTTGTATCCGCAATGCTGATCATCGATGCTCTGAAATCTATGTCGGAGTGGTTTGGGCCAGCAGATGGCTGTCCCATGATGGCATGTGCTGCTCCCGCATATTCACCATCCTCGTCTATTGTTGGTGGATTCTAAAAATCCACTTGCGTTTTACAGCTAGCCTGCTATCACTTACAGTATCCATATGTTCTACAGGAGCGTCTTGGCTATCCTTGTACCTTTTTGAAATGTCTTCAATTGCTTTTATCCATTTTGCACGAGACTCGGGTGAATCTGCGTAAAATGTTCGTTCGATGACAGTCGTCCATTGAAGACATCGAACCATGAACATGTTCGGACGGGGCTTCTCGAATGTCATGGTCTAAAAACAGAATACTTTTTAAACCCATAATAACACATGGTGTCAGACTATCCAAAACGTACCGCGGCTTCTTTGATCATGAAGTCGTTGAGAGGCCTGGATAGGGCACAGAATCCTTTGGTTTTGATCGAAATCCAAGAAGAGCTCCATCCTTGAAGATGATGAAGTACCTGGAAATACCATTATTAGTCATCCCAACCATTGCTTCCATGATGTGTTCCCCACTCTCTTCCGTGTTTTTTTTGTTTTTTCAACTTATTTCAGACACACACTCCATTCGATTATTTTTCGCGACGCTCATTCGCCGTTCGAATGTGTTTATTGTTTTGGTACACGATGATCAACGGAGTAGGGTGGCCACCTAACTGGTGACAGAGAAGCACACAACCCCGCAATAACAAAAAATAATCAGAGACTACACTGTATATAAACTGATTGAAGTGCTTCTGTTTACATGCTTAAAGAGAATAAGAATAATGGGATGAGATTTCGATCCACGGAAGCAGACCGAACTCACTAGAGAATTCTACAGCGCGATCTTCGGAAACTACTGTGTCAGAGACACATGGTTTCTGTTTTCCTACGGGATGCGTTACATTCTAAGCGAGGAAGTCACATCATTTCCGAAAAAAAAATGTTTACCAGGAATTCAGATTTTCAGGCAAATACTCATTAGCTTGATGATCTTTTGCTAAATGCTCACTTGCTAAATATGCTCATTTGCTAAACTCGCTCATTTGCTAAAATAGTCTCACTTGCTAAATTTCATTTGCTAAATGTTGATCATTTGCTAAACAGAGGATTTGTTCAAATTGAAGGCTTAGGATGAAACTACTTACCGGAAAAAAGGTGTTTAAGCCTGAGCCTAAAATATAAAGCAAAAACCGGAATATTCTGTGAAAAAAAATCAGTCAAAAAGTACTGAAATTAGCAAATAACAGCAAATTTTCCACTTTTTCATTTTCAGTAAATGATAAAAATTTAGCAAATGAAATTTAGCAAGTGAGACTATTTTAGCAAATGAGCGAGTTTAGCAAATGAGCATATTTAGCAACTAGCATTTAGCAAAAGATCATCAAGCTAATGAGTATTTGCCAGATTTTCAGCCGGAAAAGCATGATAAAGTCATTGCGACAAAAACAAATCACTTGGCGCAAATGACGCAGCGGGATAAAGTGGATGAATGTGAAAAAATGAAAAATAAAAAGATTAACGAGAGAATCAACATCGCTGTGTGTTGCTTGATTTACATGATCTTTAACATACCTGGGTCGCCAATTTTTGACATGTTCTCCTCGTTTGTGAAGCCAGCCTTCAATGACAACATCTTCAGGTTTTCTTGATTTCGTGGTCAAGCTTGTCATCGACATTTTTCCGTCCGAGCTGTTGTAATTTTTTCGGACTGGATTTCGCGTTCGACTGAAAAAAATAACTAATTGAAGGCATCCATATCAGACGCGCAGGATGATAAACACGTTTGCAAAACTGTTGAACATTCAGACTGATGTTCGAAAAAAGAACAAGAAGACAGCAACAAAATAGAAAATGGTGTGACAAACAGAGGGTGGGAGATGTGTAGGTACATGAGTTGGGAATAGAGAAAAAGAGAAAACAAGTAGAAGGAATTGTGACCCTTTTTAGGCGGAAGCAAGTCGAACGAAAAACATTTTCAGATTTTCAGACGCTGCCCGGTAACAGCATGATGAGTAAGACTGCTTCGGAATATCGGTCATTCAATAGAAAAACAGAAAGAAAGGAGGGAGGGATTGAGTAGAAAATAAGCAGAAACCAGTGGAGAATAAGCAGGAAGAATATCGGTTTTCCAGAATCGGTCTATTTGAAAAACAAGATTATTTCTTTGGAACAGCTCAAAACAACGATGAGAGCCCACCTTGTGTGGAAAGATTATAACACGTTGTGTCTTCTAAATACAGGCGGTATGGTAGGGAAAACACGAAACTTATTTTCAGACGTTTTGTTCCCTCTCGAGAAGAGGCATTTTACAAAAACAGAAACTTAGCAATAGTACGTGGAATGGGGTGACAAACAAGTTGACGGGCAAATGGCAGGAGCAAACACACATGATAAAATGAAACGAAAAACATCTTATTCAGGAAAGAGGGCGCCTAGTTAATGACTGATAAGGATTGGAAAAGCCATTCGAGAGAACATTTATTTGCTCAAAAAACCGAGGTTATTATTGTTCGGTGATCTTTGAGTTACAAATTCGATTTCTGTGGTAAAGATAAGATATAAATTCCTGATCATCGACGAATCTACAGTAGTCTGAAAGCAATGATTCCATATATCGGCTGAGCATTTCGAGTTACATGGATTATGAGCGGCGTAGCAGACGCACAAACATACAAAAAACGAAGGGGAGCTATGGGAATAGGGGCGGAGCTTTCTACACACGTGGCGAGGCGCAGACATGAAGTATGCGGCGAGCTAGTGGCAGTGGTAGACTAACGAAAACATATAAAAACATGAACTTTTAGTGAGAAACATACTTTTGTGGGAAAGTTTTACAACGTTTTGGAATGTTAACAAGCAAAACAGTAACAATTTGAATGGGAAGTATGTTTCCTAACTGAAAGACGATACAGTAAGACTTACGGATTAGGCCGCCACACCATGATTATTCGACGAGAGAAGGGACGGAGCACTGATGAAAACGTTTAGAGTTAGAATCACTGATTGAGAAAAGAGGAAATCAGAGACGCCGATAGGAGGGTAAGAGACCGGGTCTTGAACCGACGGTCTTGAGGCAAATACAAACAATTTGATGTGTGGGGACAAAATAAAAAAAAGCGTGAGTTGTTGAAAAAAGAGAGAAAATTGAGAAGTGAAGTCACAAACAAAACCGAATCTAAAAATTGACAGAATCGCGAAAATTGTTTTTGATAGACATCGAGGTTTCTTTGGAAGATTTTCGAAACTTTTTTTGGAATATAAATTTATAGATAGAAACTTAAAAACAACCTTCTGCGCCATCGGTTCGAGTAATAGTACGGAATAGTGCAGGTTCCGATCAAAGGCCGCGCGTGCTTTGCTTCGCGGATGGATGATCGGTGACGCTGAGCGGAGAAGAGAAAAGAAAGAATACGCGGAAAGAGGAGAGACAGGCGCTGCGAAATAGTGCATACTAGAGTTGTTTACATCCGAAAACGAAAACGGAGGGCTTCGCGACAAGTCTCCTCTGCGAGAAAAAAATCTAAAAAGCCTCTATCTGAATGTTTCAAAAGTGAGGGTTCTAGGAAAAATTTCAGCATCATGGACGGTTTCAATTTAAAAAACAAGCTCCCGAACTACACAAAGTCAAAAAGAATGTTTGTCCACGAGGACTACACGATATTCGTATCCTCGGCCACATGAAAATTGCGGGAGTTCAAATAAATTTTTGTGGATTTTACAGTAGGACTAATTAATTCCATGTTTAATTGATAGTGGGCTTCAAAACTTTTAGTTAGTTCCGTTTGATCTCGATTCAGTCTTCTAGTTCTCTTCACCCACGTGCGACATAAATAATCTTTCCACGTCTGCGTCACTCAAGCGCGGAGACCACGAGGACACAAAAACATCGACGAAGTAAACAACTCTTGGGGAAAACGTCAGCGAATAAGATGTGGAGATGGCATCGTCGGAAAATTGACATTCTCTTTCATCCTCTAGTTCAGAAAAACACCACACAGCGAGAGCACCAAAAACGAGTATTCCCCGCACATTGTCTGAAACCACATGTTCAGAATAAAAAGGAGTTCAGAAAACCAGTGAAGGAGAATTTAGAAGCAGAGTGGGGGATCAACGAAGAGAATTTGGTTCTTTGGCTGGCTGGTTCCTGAATTTCAAATCGAAAAAACAAAACATAGAGCAAAAATAGAAAAGGAACAGAAGATGTGGAATGGCTCCTCATCAAATGATTCAACTAAATCTATAATATCCGGAACTGATTTCGTTATTTATATGTTTTGTGACGTCTTCTCTCGCCGTCACGGTTGTCTCCTCCTTTTCTGTTGAAACATAGTTTATCTAATCAAGATACGCTGCCTTATTCATTACTCTCGAAAAACCTTTGTCCTCTAAAACTGTAAACATGTATCTCAACTGAATCAACATGTCAAGGTTAAACTGCCGGGGAGAGGACGCACTGTTGAAATTTATTTTGTGAACTGTTTGTGATGACACGAAGTAGAAATAAAAAGGAAAAAGAGAAGAAAAAGAAGAAGAAAAAGAAGAGGAAGAGGAAGAAGAATTAGAAGGATGTGGTGGTCTATGAACAGAGTTTTTGCAAGTAAAGGTAAAACGCGATTCTTGAAACAAACAGCAGCCCCGCGGACCGATAAATTGATGTTGACGTCAAAAAGCCTAATATCACCGATTCGGTTGTTGATGTGATGATATGAATTTCGAAATGAACTCGGAAAAATTGCAATGGTTACTGTAGCAAGGAAATTTAGAAAACATAATGTATACGCAGAACTAGGAAGATAAAAATGGTTTTATGACCTCGGATATAATTATATCTTGCCACCAGTCACTCACCTTGTCTTGACCATGATAAACAGTGAAGTACAGAAGCGATTTTAGTGAATTTAATTCAGACTGAGGCCACACTCTTTGATGACCAACGGGTTGGAGACTGGTACCAGGAACACCTGGCACTCGCCAGATGGTACAACGTCACTTCTGTTGACTTTGAAAGTTTTGAGAGAAATCAATGAAAAAATGAAACAAAAAGAAATAAATGAATAAAAAATCGGGTAGGCAACTGTCAAATGAATTCGGTGGATGACATGGTTATAGAGGTATACGGGAGCTCATGTGATGATGATTGTTGTTTCGAAATGTGGAGAGAGGGATTGTCTTGTGACAATTGTGGATGATGGTAAATAAAACGCGGAAATCGGCAGATCGGAAATTGGATGTTCCAATAGAATAGGAATAGGTGTCGCTGACAAAAACAATTGATCAAATGCTGATTATAGAAATAACAATTTTTCAGATTTTCTGTCTATAGAAAGCTGAGAAAAATATGATACAAAGAATCAGTTTGGTATAATTTTGACAAAAAAGACAGATAAATATTTTTGGTTTAACTGGTACTTCATTGCCAGGTCAAGTCGGCTACTACGAAACCAAAAACAGGAAATAGTTGGAAAAGTGTGAAACTAACAGCAATTATTCACAAAGTTGTGGTTGAATAGAATGGTCTGTTAATGTTCGTTATCTTTAAAAGTGCGGAAAAGAAAGAACAATAGAAAGATGATAATATTGTGTACCTTTGTCTAGGCTGCGAAATCGGGAAAATATGTGGCAATTGATACTATTCTGTGTACAAACAAACAAGACACATTTTAAAAATCAGACCTCTTATTTAGCCTGGTGGGAACAATAACAATATACCGTAAACATTCTAATAGAACGCCAGATGCGTCCAGGACAGAAGACGTCCACATTTGCAGCTACTATAACCTAGAAGTGTTGAGGATTATCAATGATTAGATGTTTGGGTGTGATTTCATCCTCATTTTAGAAAACATAAAATTTGTATGGGACACATTCTAATGGATCATTTCTGGGGAAACAAATCTTGTAAATATAAAATCAACTACTGCCCAGAAAAATTGTGCCAAAAACATTATCAAGCAGCCTTTCCGAGAATCGAGGTAGACCATGAAACCCTTCGATTTCCACGTGATCAAGTTTGAATTCAAAACAAAAAAAGAGTACACTGACTACACTCTAAAATGCGCTTTGGTCTCTGAAAGGTGTCTTGTTTTGGATATATAGAAATGATTTGAGGAGGAAGCCAGACAGAAAAAAAGAGCTAGAGGCGGAATACACAAATTACGAATTAGTCAGAATATTTTTCTAATCGAAAACATGTATTATTTCTGAACTCTTGAACACAAACACTATTTTGGGCGGATAGATTTGAAAAGTTGATCATAATGCGAATGTGATGAATTCCTAATCTGACTGACATCATTTCAGTGGTTCATTTTCTGAAAACGCTCGTAAATCTTCCTTTTCTTGACCTAATAAACGTGAAAAATTAAACGTAAGCATAATCAAATCAACGTGGTCTTCAACTGTTTAACCATTAAATTATCTCACTTCCCTATCAAGATGAGCACAACAACTGAAGACGTTGATGACCTAAAAACTGCAATTGACATAAATGACTGCAAAAAAGAAAAGGAAGAACCAATGCAAAGAGCTGCACAAATCCGTATCAAACAGGTATACTGTAATTCCAAACTCGAGATTTTCATAAAATGTTTTTATATTTAGAGATACAACTGTCCGGAACAGGAACTCATTCAGATGCGTGCTCCGTTTCTTGGGTTTTCAGTTTTCGTGCGATTCCAGTCTAGAGCTAGAATTCATACAATCAACATCGTCAAAGGAGATGAAATTGACAAGATGTTGAATAGTCCGGTACCGTACTCGTAGAAGCGAGATCTGTTCAAATGAATTGGTTAGTGAACTTCATTTTTACAAATACATTTTTTACAACATTCAATAAATTCTTTAAAAATCTATTTTGAAATGAATCTTGATGATCTACGGGGACAAGGACAGTACGAAGCATCTGGTCCTGGAATTCCAGGGTTTCCTTGGTTTCCAGGTGTTCCTGGTTGTCCGAACGTTCCTGGAAATCCATCTTGTCCTGCAGGCCCTTGTCCTCCTTTCCAACCATCTTGTCCCGAATACCCGTCAATTCCTGGTTGTCCTTGCGGTCCTTGTTTACCTGGAAGTCCAGGCGCACCTGACGCTCCATATCCTCTTTGCCCATCAGCCCCATTCCTTCCTGGTTGTCCATTTTGTCCTGGCTGTCCTGGCTTTCCATTATCTCCATTTTCCCCTGGCGTTCCTGGGAATCCTGGGTTTCCACGAGGTCCAGGATATCCTGGGCGGCCGGGAGGACCACTCGGCCCAGCGGGTCCCATTGCTCCGGCAGATCCCATTAGGCCCTGTGGACATTTCACACAGTCTTCTGATACTGGAGGGCAGCTGATCGGAGAATAAACAATGTTGCAGTCTGGTCCTTGGATTCCGGGGTTTCCAGGTTGACCACGTTGTCCTGGCTGCCCCGGTGGACCTGGGGGACCAGGAGGGCATATTGGTTTGGTTGGTTCACATTGGCACCATGAAGGAAGGCTCTTGTACGATTGTCGTTTTTGTCGAAATATGGAGTTGAATGGATTCTGACGTGGCAGAGAAAGAGGCATAACTGATATTTGAACATCCATCAATTCTATCCAAGCAAGGTCAGTTTCTTCTCGGAATGCAGAAACTTCTGTGGTTACCTGGAAACATGGCTGATGCGTAAGCTCATCAATGAAGTTTCTTTACCTCAGAACGAACAGTTTGTATCATATTGTACTGACAAGGGATCACAAAAAGACATGAAATAATAGCTAGACCAGAGACACAAATGGAAACTCCAACAACAATATTCTCTTCTAACATTTCCAAAAGTTAAGAAGAGATGCAGAATATTAACTTTTCCTTTCCACCTTCCCCTAATCTCTTATATAACCCCACAATCAATTAACAGTACATTTAATGTGTGTAAAATGTCTTCTTCTTCTGATTCTGGAAGACACTGTAAAGTTGTGTAAGTTTTGTCCATAAAGTGTTCATTTGTGAATGAAGGTGCTATTATAACACACCTAAATACGGGTGCGACATTGTAAGCCATGGAAAAGGTCCCCAGATTGATTAAACTACTTCCCACATTCTCAATCAGTTTAAATCATGATTTATTTCCTATTTTTTGCCTGTAACCATGTTTGGAGAGAATACTGTGCGGCAATACTGTGTGCAGCTTGCAATATAGGCTCCGCCCGAGACCCCAAAACGCCGCGCAACGTGCGCCCTATCGAACGCGTCGCGTCTGCGTCGCGGGCGACTAACATTTTCGACCCAAATCAGCTCAAAATCTGCCTATTGAGAATTCTACGTTGCCCCGACAACTTCTTCGTATTCGCCTTCTCCCGCAATCAACAAATCGTACGAAATGGATGGATATAGCTTACAGGTAATTGATTTGCCCATTTATTTTGTTATGCTTTGAACCCGATGTATATAAAACCCCGTTCTCAATATTTTTGAATTCTTATATTGATTTCGTTGAGCTCGTTTTTTGCTAAAGTTGAAAATTTACCTAAAAAATAATGATTTTTATAATTTTTGAATTCGTTATACTTTCTTCTCTTCATCGACATTTTCGCCCTTTTAAACTGCATAAATTATCTTGCAATTTGAATTTATGATGATCTCATTGCTTTGATTTGAATCTTGACTTGGCAATATAACATTTATTCAATAAAATGACCAGTGTGTTTTATACGGTTGATTATCATATATTTATTTTTGAATTTTAACCTAAAATTGACTTTTTGAAAATGTATTTTAAAAATCGGTATACCTATATTTTTAATCTTTGTTCAGCAAACTACTCAAGCGACTACACTCAAGAGGGAACGAGGAGAGGATGATGAATGTACGGTGTATCTTTTATTGATGATGTCATAACAATTAATTCCGTCGTTTGTTTGCTACTTTTTTCTGAATTTTTTATCTATGCTTTTCGAACCATTTTTTTCTCAAATTGCGATGCTATTATTCTATTATCGAGAGAACCAGCCAATCAAACCGATAATTACCTAATTCATACTTTATAATTTTCAGACGGACTCCCTTCCAAACGTCTCGCCGAGGATCCCGATTTGAGTCTGAGCAATCCATTCATGGGTGACAATGAAAACGTCAATGAGAAGTATCCGATTCCAGAATCGGCTGTTGGAATAGTAATTGGAAGAGGAGGCTCTGAAATTCAAGGAATTCAGGCTAAGGCTGGATGCCGCGTTCAGATGTCTTCCGACTCGGATAACTCCGGTGTCCGCCAGGTCACTCTCGAAGGAACCCGTGCCAACGTTGAGGCAGCAAAAGTGCTCATTAATGAAGTTGTTGCTCGTTCGCAGACACCACGGCCACAATATGGATTTCCGAGAGCGCAAAACACTATCGACATCGCAATTCCACCAAATCGGTGTGGATTAATTATCGGAAAAGCGGGAGAGACTATCCGACAGCTTCAGGTTTTTAATATTCTACGATTTTAATTAATTTATCTTTGACATTATTTAGGAGAAGAGCGGATGCAAGATGGTTCTCGTTCAGGATAGTCAAACTGTTGGTGATCAAGCCAAACCGCTAAGAATTACTGGAGATCCGCAAAAGATTGAAATTGCAAAGCAACTGGTTGCTGAGATTCTGAACAGCGGCCCAGATGGAAGCGGAGGAGGTGGTCACCAGGTGCAACATATTGGTAGTGGTGGAGCATCTGCTCGTGGAGAAGTCGTTGTTCCGAGGTCATCAGTTGGAATTATCATTGGAAAACAAGGAGATACGATCAAACGTCTTGCAATGGAGACTGGAACTAAAATTCAGTTCAAGCCAGATGAAGACCCAAATGCTCCAGAAAGATGCGCCATCATTATGGGAACTCGCGATCAAATCTATCGTGCAACTGAACGTATAACCGAGTTGGTTAGAAAGAGCGCCCAACAACAAGGTGGAAGCATGACTGGATCGGCTGGAGCAGAATCATCGGTAACCACATGCACTGATAAATCCTTTTAAAAACTAAATTTTCCCAGACTTTCTTCATGTCCGTTCCGGCTGCCAAATGTGGTCTTGTCATTGGAAAAGGAGGAGAAACAATCAAACAGATCAATTCGGAAAGTGGTGCTCATTGTGAGCTGTCCCGTGATGCAACTGGAAATGTAGAAGAGAAAGTGTTTGTGATCAAAGGAGGAAAGCGGCAGATTGAACATGCCAAGCACTTGATCCGTATCAAAGTCGGCGATATTGCTCCAAACACTCCATTCCGCGATGACTCTGCAATGTCGATTCAGCCACAGTTTGCAGCTCCAGCTCAAGGAGGCTTCGGAGCACAACAATGGAATCCAGCTGCCGCAACACAAATCCCAGGAGCCACTCAGAACCCGTACCAAGTTGCTGGAGGATGGCAACAAAACAATGTATACGCCCAACAGCAAGCAGCCGCGGTTGCTGCGGCCGCTGCACCATATGCTGCTGCTGGAATTGTTCAGGCCCAGCCTCAAGTGGCAGCCTATCAGCAACCACAGGTGGTTCAACAGCAACAACCCCAGGCTGCCGCTGGCACCCCAGTCGTAGACCCTGTAACCGGAGAACAAGATTACTCCGCTCAATGGATGGAGTATTATAAGTATGATTCTGTTATTAGTAGAATGCAATATTGATTGTTTTGTTTCAGGTCCATCGGAGCTCTTGACAAAGCCGAAGCAGTAGAAGCTCAAATGAAGAAGAAGAAGGCTGAAGCCGCGGCCCGCGCTGCTGCTGGATCAGCTGCACTTGTTCAGCAGATGCCAATGGGTATGCCAATGCAACAAGTGGCTGGTCAGCCACGTGCCGCTCAAGCTTATCCGGCTTACTCGGCTGCAGGAACTGTTGCCTATCAACCACAACAATATGGACAGTTTCAATAATTGTTAATCCATTTCACCCTGTTTTATATTTATTGCTTCTTCTTTTCATTATCCTTCTCTTCTTCTTACCCCCTTGGTCTCAAAATTGATAAATGTTCTGTAAATTGAACCACAAGCGAAATGGTTGAAAATAAATGATTACATGAATATTTTTTAGAGAAAATGCGAAATGATTCGAACACAGACACAACTGTGCACCGATGCATTCTCTAATTAATGAGTGCGATTTCATCAGAGATCGGCCTCTTTTTCTACGAATCTTGTCCTCATTCGTTGAAACTCTGATTCTGACGTCTTCTGAGAATTTGAAGTTAACAGAAAGTGCTCATATCATTCACCAGTATGTACAGTCCAGCTCTTTGTCATGGAGATGAACTATTTTTTGAAAACAAAAACAGTTTCCAAATAACTTCTCATATCATATCGGCCCTATTTCTTCCCATAAATTGCTGGGGAATTTATTGCATTACAAGAAAAACTCCAAAATCAATGAGACCAGTAAAATTGTATTTGTTGAATTTGCATATTTGGTATTTTTTTGCCGCTTTTTGATTCATTTGAGATGAAGTTTCAGGTGCACCCTTTTCGATTTGTTTTGTGGATCTCTAATCACTCCATTCTTCTTTTTTCCCTCACTTTCGGGATCTCCAATTGGATTATTAACGGTAGTCGGGGTACCAACACTAATTCAGATTTGTTTAACATTTTGTGTATTTGGAGGTAAGGTATTATTCTGGTACATAACATTGGAAGAGAAACGTCGGTGGCCGAAAGTCTCACAACGATAACTACAGTAACCAAAAAATATTATTTTCTCATGTTTTACTTTCGCGTATTTTCAGTCAGTTTTTCACTATCAAAAAATATTCTCTTTCCCAAATTGTTTGGGTATAAATAACATCAAAATCGACGAAAATCAGTAAAAACGAGTAAATAAATACGATAAATAAACATAGTTTTAGGTTACGGTAGTTTTCGTTGTGGGACCACCTGCTTTTCTACTCAGCCACCTGATTTCCTACTCAACAGCTCCAACTTTTTGTACCAGAATAATGTATCTCTCAGTATTACAGGTCTATGCAGTGCAATCATTTATGTTTTTGAGAATCGTCAGTATGTTTTGTGTGAAAATACGAACATATTCCGATTGGAAAATTCAAAAGCCCGAGTATTTTACTATGGATTTGTGTTTGCTTATTGTTGTCTCTCCATTTATCCATTTTCTTGGAACATTCCAGAGCAGAACAATGCGAAATTACGAATTCTGGATGTTCGATCTTCAATTCTTCAAATATCTCACTTTTCTGATTCCAGATGATCCCTTGCCCTAATTCAGAATTCTTTTCAAACAACACATACGTTTTCAAGGGACCAGAAGACACCGCAGCTTTCGGTTACTTAGGATTATGCTTCACGATTTTTCTGGCTTCTCAAATTTCATTTTTTGGAGGAAACTGTTTCTACATGCTATATGCATGGGATAATATAACTCTTTCGGCGCATTCTAAAAGATTGCAAAGAAAGTTTTTCATTACCATTTGTATTCAGATATTTATTCCAATGTGGGTGGTTGTCTTACCACTTTCATACTTTTTGGGAAGTTTGTTCACTGGTTATTACAGTCAATCATTGAATAACCTAACTTCTGTCTTCTTCTCTTGCCATGGATTCATTTCAACCATTTGTCTTCTTTTCATGAATCCGCCATATCGAGAAGCTACATTCCACATGTTATCTCCTTTCTGTTCACCTAGTTTTAAAAACCGATTAGTGGAAAGTAACCGTCCGGGAAGAACCAGTTTTGCAGTAACAACTCATTCTAAATGACCGAATCTGTTTGAATAAAGATATGAAAGTTTTGCTCATTATCCAACTTTTACAATTATTAAAATTTTTGAAATTGGAAAGTTTGATAAGAAGCAAACAAAGTTAAATGCTCAACAAAATATTATTATTGTAGTATTATAAAACTGAAATTCCTATTTATCGAAATTCATGGTGCAGCTCGACAAAACAATAAAACGTCGAATATATTTTGCTCTCATAGGATAACTCGAGAGTAGCTTGAAGACATATTCAAAACAAATTGAAAAATAGGACCCTCTGAATTTGAGATACGACGAATTCGAACGTTTTCAAAATCGAACAGACCTAAAGTCGAACAGATTCAATTCAGAACAGTCCTTTTTTCGCACACGTACCAGAACAATCTATCAGCGCTCCGGATAGTTCCTGAAAGTAACTCCAAAAAAGTCAATTTTTTACGATTGCCACCAGATATTTCCGGATACCGGTCCTTGTTTTCATTCTGGATTCCAGATTCCTTATCCTGGAGAAAACTGGCTCATTCCGAAACTTCACCTAATACGTTAATTTGCAAGAATTCTCTGCCATTAGATCTAATATTAGAAGTTAATTTCCGAATTCTAAAAAATTAATTTTTCGGATTATATAAAATTTTTTATTCATCCAAGTTCTGTGTTCCAAATTCCGCTTCTTAAAAAAGTCATTCCGGACATCTCTGATTGTCCCCCAATGGCTATTCCGTAATTTAATGCTGATTTAATTTCTTGTTGACAAAATTTTTGTTATTGTAATCAAGTTTTTGAAGTTATAGAGTTCTGAGAAAATGATTCTCAGAAGTAAACAAGATTTTTTAAAATCTGAACATTTCATTCTAAAAAATTCTTGTTCATGTGTGAAACATTTTGATGGTTGGATGGTTCATGGGCTCTAATTTTTAGTTTCATTTCATTTACTTTGAAATTAGTTAATTCTAGCATGCTATTTTTTTTTGTCATTCCTTCTAACCGAGATCAAATTTGATATCAAGATAATACTGACTGTTATATAAAGGAATCATATAACAGTTAAGATATATCTTGAGAGTCTTATCAGTCACTAATTATAGTTTTCGATTATTTATCGGTATTCTAGAAAGCTATCATTATGCAGAATACCACCTCTTCGTTTTGAAAATTTACCAAAACACGAATTTTTCGTCACATGACACCTCCTATAAAAAAATGATTTTCTGAGTTTGACCCCATTCCTTTGAGTCCAATGTCTTTTGGGAATCTAGACGAAATTTAATGATTTCACGTCTGAACAGTTTTCTCTGAGAGAAACTTGAAGTTTGATTCTGTGAACTTCTCTGATTACTGATCACAAGAAGAACATACTTCCGACCAATTCTGAATTGTGATCTTTTTAAGAAAGCTTCTCTTTTTTCGCCAGTCTGATCATTTCCTGTCGGTATTTTCGTGAAAAATATCTATTCGGTTTTTCTTTTGGCTGCTCTACAAGCATCTCTAGCTAATTTCAGCGTTCATTTGACACAGAAACAATATGCTCGAACTGTTGAAAGATATTGCGCAGTGTGTTGCTTTGTGTATTTCAATTGCTTTGAACTCCATTCTCACTTATTTGATCATGACAAAATCGAACAGCAAGATGGGCTCGTACAAGTATATTATGATGTACATGTCTCTGTCAGCACTCTGTTACTCTGTATTGGGATTGATAGTGAGGCCGGTAAGTTGAATAATTTTTTGAATTGTTGTGAATGAGTTCGAACGTCTATTTGAGAAAATTACTACTGTATAGTGAGACACACGGATAATGAGAATTCACATATAATTAGTACTTATTGCTAGCGTATAGTAGAAGTGTACCGGAAGTTAAATTTTTCTTCGAACCTGATGTTTTGAAATAGGTTACTGTAGTTGATATCTCTGAGTATTTTTCAGGATCTCTTATCCTACAGCTCATGCTTTTCTGTGTACGTGAAAAACTCCACTGCAATTTTCAAGCCGGTAGTCATGATTTATCTGATGTGTAAGCAGCTCAATTCTGAAAATAAACGAACTCCATTGAACCATTTCAGCATTCATCTGTGCCTTCTACTTTTTCTTCGCATCACTGATTGCAGTGCATTTTGTGTACCGTTACAATGCCCTTAAATATGGACCTAACTGGACATATTTCAAAGGGAAATTTCTGTTCTGCTGGTTCCTAATCTCTCCCATTCTTTACGTCAATTGGACACTGAACTGTTTACTAGTATTCCAGCCGAACGAGAATAATACCGAGTTTCTAAGGTGATTCCAATTTTTAGCATGTATACAGAAAACTGATTCTATTTTTAGAAAACGCATGAAGAATGATTTTGGAGTGAATGTAGATGATATCACCTATATTATTGCTGAGTTCTATCCCATGGATAGAAATGGAATACGGACTCCGTCTTTTTGGACCTTTTTTTCAGGCATCAATTTTCTTGTGATGACAGTAAGCTTTTTATTTTGAATCATTTTCCAAAAAAACGTTTTCAGGTGGCATCCCTCATTGTTATATTAGTATTCGGGTTCAAATGTTATTACGAAATGACACGTGTTGTGATGCCTGGTCGAAACTACTCAATCACTCAAAAGCTACTTCAAACTCAACTATTCCGAGCTCTCGTCTTCCAAACTCTCATTCCTTCAGTTATAATGTACCTTCCCCTCTTTGTTCTTTTCATATTTCCCATGTTCAACATTGATTTGGGGTTTGCTCATTATGTCTCTATTTCTATATCGCTTTATCCAGCTCTTGACGCTCTTCCTAATCTACTTTTCATTAGAGATTATCGAGATGGTCTATCCAATTTCTTGAAGAAACCTCACGAGACTACTCTCAAAAGTTTTGAACCATATTCTATTCGGAGAGGTAGTAGATTGACTAGTGCTACAAGAAGTACAGTTCATTTGAGCTAGTCGCCAAATGAATATTTTCAATGTATGACTTCGTTACAAGCATTACAAATTTACATTATCGTTTGAATGATTTATTGTCAGATCGTTCGTACAAATTCATGAGAATATGGTTTACTGATTGTTCTGGGATGGTCCAAATCCAGCTTCTCTCTTTCCATAATATCCAGCATAAGCAGATCCGAGACCATATCCTCCATAAGCTCCATATGCTCCGTATGCTCCATAGGCATTTCCATAACCTCCGTAGTAAGATGGATAATAAGAAGAGGCATATCCGTAGTATTGAGCAGAAGCTTCTTGGACAACTGAGCACATGATGACGGCGAGGACGCAGAGAAGGCTGAAAATGAGTTTGATTATAACTTGAAATTTATAAATAAGGATACTTACAATTTGGAATTCATTTTCGTTGTGGTGTGGATTGGAATGTGTTGCTATTACTAATTTTTGCAGCTCTTTTATACTACCATCTTCTATTTGCTCGACACCTTTCTCTTTTACACAAAGTGTCAATATTCTCAGTACTGGTTCCTTTTTTAAGTTAATAATTGTACACTTGTGACACATTGAGCTATGAACTTTTTCAGAATTTTTTTTTGAGACCCGCCTCTTTACTATTTCAGTTCTCCCATTATTAAAAAATTTACTGATTATGAGAAGTTGTTCAAAATGTCCTCTCCGAGCTTTCAAATGATGATTTCTGTTTTCACGTGGGCGATGGAACATCTTCTCGGTCTTCTCGAACTTTGGACAAAACTTCGAAACTCTTTGAAATATTCTCATGATGTCTCCTGGAGTTTTCTGATGAACTTTCTGGAACTTTATGAGTTGGAAATCTATGAGAACTTCATGACACTTCCTGGGCCACAGACCATTTTGGAGAAATTACGCACACCAATTATTGGGACGGAATCGCTGATGAATTTCACCACCAGGCCTCGAATACTGAACCGTTTCTGAATTTGATTGTGATGTGGTATTTAGTTTTTCGTTTCGAAAAATGCGGATTGCAGTCCACTTATTTGTTTGTAGTGAAAAAGAAAGAAGGATTTCATTCAACTGGTAAATTAATAAAATGTGAGGAAAAGTTTCTAAATGCTGGTTCCAAAGTATCCAAACAAATGGGAAGTTGAGTTTCAGTTTATAGAAATCCATTCCGTATCCCCTGTAAATTAATACTCAAAAGATCGAAGACTGTGGTTCTGAGTATATTTTAACGAAATTTTTTCCTTTCAAAACCTCTGAAAAGGATAGGAAATTCAGTAGTTGTTTAATAATAATGCAACTTCATTATGCATTGTCTGCCAACGTAAACAATGTTCCTTAGACTACTTTTATCAGGAATCATATTGTTTCAATGCAATATCTGTTAAGTTTGAAACTATTAACAAAAAAAGTGTTCATAAGAGAAACAAGGTTACAGTAATACATTTCCTCCCCATAAGGAATCAATTATATACTGCAGAGATGATCAGAACAAAATTTTGAGAAAGCAGAGGAAGGAAAAATGAATAAGGAGTTCCGCACATCTCTGATATGTTGTAAACTTGTTTTCCGGAACACAATGGTATAGTATATCGTTTCAAAACAAAGAAAGAAAATTGATGGAAGAAAATGTTTTTATTGTCAGATCGTTCGTACAGATTTTAATTTCAGAAGTTTACTGATTGCTCTGGGATGGTCCAAATCCAGCTTCTCTCTTTCCATAGTATCCAGCATAAGCAGATCCGAGACCATATCCTCCATAAGCTCCATATGCTCCGTATGCTCCATAGGCATTTCCATAACCTCCGTAGTAAGATGGATAATAAGAAGAGGCATATCCGTAGTATTGAGCAGAAGCTTCTTGGACAACTGTGCACATGATGACGGCGAGGACACAGATAAGGCTGGAAATGAGCATTTGATTACAAAATTAAACTGAGAAAAAGAAACCTACAATTTGGAGTTCATTTTTAGTAGAATAGTTGAGAACAACTGTTGCCATCCACTGAGATTCGTTCATTTTTATATCAACTGCAAACTGTTTGCTAACTGCTCTTTGCGCTAAAAATGCAACTGTCACATGAGTTTTTTTGTAATTCTGTTATTTGACTCCATTCAATATCCTCAATTCACGCCGCTTTCAAGTTACCGCATGGGTAAACAATCATGAGAAACCATCCAGGAATAGTTTGAAATACTAGGAAATTGAAACTAAATACAATGAATATGACACCAGAGTCAACATTTATTCAATATAAACAGTTATATACAGATAAAAAGTACTATACACACAATTATCTTGCTGAGAGCAAATTTTGAAAAGAGCGATTCAATTGATCACAGTACATTACATCATCGTATGACGGTAGAGGAGAAGCACGGGCGGATTCTAGTTCATGGTAATCTGGAGGTAGTTCTTCTGACGTTAACAATATTCGAGGAACATTGACGTTGGTGTAGTCTGTATTTGTATTGTATAGAGTATTTCATTTTTTTTAAATGAAGTAAACCTGAATTGTTGAGATGCATACTGGAAAAGAAAACAAAACTTACATGGAAGTTCAATGTCTATATCTGTTTCAATATCTCCCTTTTCACATTCACCAGCTGTTCTCCGCTTATTCACTTCTTCTGGTTTCATTAAAATTGCGCACTGAGCCAACTGAATCCTCTCGTAATGATACTTGCAAATATAGAAAACGGAAATGAACAATAGAATTGAAATGGAGAGGAATATGAAGATAGTGCACAAGGCCAATGATTTGGTCAAGGCTATCATCAGATTGTCTGGTTTATACGGAGCCGTTTTGAAATTTTCCAGAGAGAATAATTGGAGAAAAATAGAAAGAGTCTCTGTTTTCAGTGAACTATTTGTATCTGACGGACAAGGCTTAAAATAAGAAGGATTAGGCAGCATTTAATGTTCATGTGAGAAGATCGGAATCTTCTAGATTAACCTAATGTTTTCCGATACGGATTACAGTAGGACGTCACAGAAGCTTTCAGGGTCAGCACGTATTCATCTAGAACATATCGGAGTTCGAAAGTGGTTACTGAAATCTTATGTGTCGTTGATTTCGTCATACTATTTTTTTAGAATTTCATTCAGAAAAGTGTATTGATATTTTCTTCCTGAATCTTTTTTGGATTTCCATACCACTCTTGTGACGCATTCAATTTTACTCGGTTATTTCTGGAAATGTCTCGAAGGAGGAGCAATTGGATGGAGGAGCTGTCGAGACGGCATTTGGGTAGTGAAACCCTGTCCGTCTCGGAAACCAGAAAGACAGTTAAACAAAGAAAGAAAAAAGACATTTCAACACTCAAACTTTATTAAAACGAACTTTTAGAAGGACACGATTTGGCGGTTTCGTCGGCAGCTTGCTCCTTCGCCATCTTATATCTTTTGAATGGACGAGACGGCGGCTTACTTGCAATATACAGAGAACTAATCTTATTCCTTCACATAAACTTCACATCGACCGTTCCACGTAGCAAATACGATTCGTTATAAGATTTAGGTAACATAAGGAGACGGTCACGTAACTTGGAAATCCATACAAACTGATTCCTTCAGATAGCTCGTAGAACAAAGCAAGAGATGTTGAATATTATTTTAGATATCCTCAGATAGGCTAGAGAGTTTCCATAGTTTGGAATTATTCTTACAACTTAAGATGTGCTTACAATTAAAGAATACAATAATACCAATAGCATAAAGTTGTGGAAGTAATGTACGATACATTACTTTCGCAACAGGAGCAGTTTGACAGTTACGGCAAAATCAACAGTAGGAAAAAAACTAGGGGTAAATAGTCATGAGTTTCTTATAAAAGAGTAGCACTTCATGTGGAAAACCAAGAACCTTCACACCCTTTCAAAATGAACTCCAAATTGTAAGTTTTCTTTTTTCTAAATTTATATTATAATCAAATTCATTTTCAGCCTTCTCTGTGTCCTCGCCGTCATCATATGCTCAGTTGTCCAAGAAGCTTCTGCTCAATACTACGGATATGCCTCTTCTTATTATCCATCTTACTACGGAGGTTATGGAAATGCCTATGGAGCATACGGAGCCTATGGAGCTTATGGAGGATATGGTCTTGGATCTGCTTATGCTGGATATTATGGAAAGAGAGAAGCTGGATTTGGACCCTCCCAGAACAATCAGTAAACCATATTATCATGAAATTGTACGAACGATCTGACAATAAAACTTTTGTTTCATCTGCATATTTTTTTTTCTTTTTTGTTTGAAACAATATATACCACTGTGTTCTGGAAAACCAGTGATTTACAGGGTGGCTGTTAATTACCCGCAAAAAAGTTTGGCGCCATGGTGCAGCCGTCCTCGTACGTTTCCTACAGTATTTTTTCATGTTGTGAATAACAAATTTTCATGTTGTGAATAACATATTTTTTGCTATTGTGCAAAGTTTCAAGTCTATCTGTCTCCAATTCGAACCATTTTTCATTCTTCGCCTTTTTCTAACAAGGGAGGGCCGACAGTCCGTCATAGAGGATACGGTCTTGAATCTGCTTATGCAGGATATCATGGAAATAGAGAAGCTGGATTTAGACCATCCCAGAGCAACCAATAATTTTCTGATCTTGAAATCTGTACACACGATCTGACAATAAGAAATTTTCATGCTTGTTATTTTACATTCCACAATAAGAAAATTCGGAAAAAAATCAAAACACCAAAAGAACTTTTGAGAAGCAAACATCTGAATGATGTCAACATCTCTTCGCTTTCACGTTGACATACATTCATTTTGAAAATATGCAAAACTGTTAGAGTCTCTTTTCTTCCGGTCATAACATAAAGAGGACAATTCAGTATAAAGTATTCAGTATTCAGTATAAAAGGAGTTGGCAACAACAGGAGGAAACAGTTGAGGCATGCAGCTCTCCTTCCTTCATTTCGTTTGTTTTTGTGCCGTTTTGAGCACTTCGAATGCTCTGTTCGGTATCGGAAGAAAGCAGTCAGTGGCGGTGACTGGAAGACTCACTTGTAATGGAGTACCAGCAAAGGATGTTAAGATCAAGTTGTATGAAAAAGAGAAGAGTGAGTTGGTTTTTGTAACTGTAAAGTTTCTAATGATTCAATGTTTTCAGTTAAAGATGTGAAGATGGATGAAACAACCACAGATGTTAATGGATACTTCAAAGTATCCGGATACAAAACTGAGATTACCAATATCGATCCACAAATCAATATCTACCACCGCTGCAATTACAAGAAGTTGTGTTACAAGAAGGTTCCAATCAAAATCCCAGACAACTTTATCACCAGTGGAATCGTCCCAAAGAAAACGTTTGATATTGGAGAAATCAATCTTGCCAATCGGTTCAAAGGAACAACTATTGATTGTATAAATTGAATGGTTTCTTCACAATTGCGTGCATAAATTTTTTCCCAAAAAACGACCATTTTCCGTTTTAATTGATAACACACAAAATCATTAGGCTACAAGAACTGCTCGTAGACTAATATTTGCCTTTCGGCCGGTGGGCAATGTACTTTATATCGTTTTTCTTTTCTCCGAATTTTTTAACATAAAAGTATTTCACTAGTCCATCACCATTATTAAAGAATCCTTTCCCATTTTGGGGAAATTTTAAAACAAATTCGTTTTTTTTGCCTTGACATGGTTCGATCTTTCCGTTTTATCAGTTGGGAAAAGACATTCATACGGGTGTCATTGATTTTATCGCTTTCGATCTTGGCATACTTTTTCCGTCCTCACTTCTTTAGTCATTTTGGAAACTCACGTATATAAATGACCCACTTTCTGGCAGAAACGGTTTGTTACAAATCACGGTTATGACTTGATAACATTTTAGTACTTTTAGCACTTTTCCAATTTTACTCGGCATATTTTTAGTCTTTTTTTTAAATATCACACACACTTTTCAGGCGAAAATGTTTCTAGAAAACTTATGGGAATGTGTAATTGAGCATCCGATAGCTGTGATAGTTACCGTAGCTATCCTATACCTCACTCATATCACTCTGAAACCCTTGAATCGTATCAGAAGGCTTGGAGATGTTGGACTTTTTTTTGGAAAACCTGAGGTGTGAAATTTCATTTTTAAAGTCAAAACTGAGAATTTCAGTTGACAGGATTTTATCGCGAAAGACAATTGGAAAGATTAAAATTATTGAGACGGACTGGAGATTTACCACCAGTATTTCCAAATGGATGGTATTGTGTTTGTGAATCAGAGAAGTTACAGAAAAATCAAATTATGGAAATCACAATTCTAGGTTAGTTCGTTCTAGGTTAGAACCAACCAATTTTTATTTATCATTCTTTAGGCCAGTTTCTTTCACTGATAAGATCAGAGTCCGGAACCGTGTATATCACAGACTCCTATTGCCCTCATATCGGAGCGAACTTTAATATTGGAGGACGAGTGAGATACATCATTTAGCACATAGTATACCGTTTATGTTTCAGGTAGTTCGAGACAACTGCATTCAGTGTCCGTTTCATGGATGGATTTTCAGTGCAGAAACTGGAAAATGTGTGGAAGTTCCATATGACGAAGGAAGAATACCTGAACAGGCAAAAGTGACAACATGGCCATGCATCGAAAGAAACAACAATATATACTTGTGGTACCATTGTGATGGTGTCGAACCGGAATGGCAAATACCAGAAATTACGGAAATAACCGAAGGATTGTGGAAACTCGGAGGAAGGACGGAACATGAATTAATGTGTCATATTCAAGAAGTTCCGGAAAACGGAGCAGACATTGCTCATTTGAATTACCTTCATAAGTCAGCACCTGAAATAACAAATGGATCAGATATTATAAAAACCGATCTATCAGATCCGCAGCCAGCAGTTCAACACGTTTGGGACGGGAAATGGGAAGTGAAATCAGAGGAAGATAAACATTGTGGAGTGATGCATTTAAATCAATTCATGACAATTTGGGGATACAAAGTGCCGTTGACAAGTAGCAAATTGGTTGCGGAACAGGTGGGAGTTTTAATTTTAAATTTTATATTCTTATGAAAATTTTAAAGCATGGTCCTGGAATCGTTCACATGCTATTCGACTTTGGAATCTGGGGAAAGGGAGTTGTATTTCAAACGGTGACTCCAGAAGAACCGCTGCTACAAAGAGTCAGATTCAGAATATTCTCGAATATTCCTTGGTTTTTTGTCAAGTTTTTTATGACTGTTGAAGCCATGCAGTTCGAGAGAGATGTCTTTATTTGGTCAAATAAGAAATATATCAAGTCTCCGCTTCTGGTCAAAAACGATGGTCCAATTCAGAAGCACAGAAGGTACAGAAGAGCACATGAAAATTCATACACAAGAACAATCTAAAATTTTCAGATGGTTTTCTCAATTCTATACGGAAAACAGTCCTCGAATGATGAAAGACGGAAGTTTGTCCAATCAAGCAAAATCGACTTTCGACTGGTAGTTTTGAAGGATTATTAAAATCTTGATTCATCTTCGATTGCTGAAGATTCCTCATCCGGTTCAACTGTCGCATTCCACAAATACCACTTTTCTACTATTATCGCAGAAAGAAGATAAAATAAATGTATAAAGAAAACAGCAACCAGAACATACATGTCAAAATAATACCGATCAGTTACCTCATATCCAATCAAAAGAGCACTGGAATGAGTATAAATCATATAAAATTCAACAACAAAAATAGCAGAAATCAGTTGAATCAGACAACAGGAATCTAGAATGTCTAGCCGTTTTCGATATTTCTTCACTTTGAAAACTTCGTAAACCAGAAGAAATGCACTAATGCAAATTGATAAAAGGTTTAGAGCATTGATTGACTGAAATTTAGGATAACAAGAATTTTAAGCGAACCAAGCACTCACGAAAGGATCGCCATCCGTTTTCCTATAGTGGAACGTCATCGGGTCCCATACATTACAAGGATGTGTCCATATTATATAAATTGTCGATACTATCACTATAGTAGTTCTAGTTTTGAGCTGGAAATTATGCGCCAAGATGAGTTGAGGTACATCGAAAAACATCAAAATCGAGTTCACAAGAATGATGACTGTGAAAGTTCCTAATATATTGGAATACAAGTAAACCAACGTTAGCACAATTGATAGAAATTGAAATGCATGAGAAACTGCTGGAATTCTCTCGGATATTTCCACAGAAAACAAAACAATTCCACAAAACGAGTAGAGATAGATTAGGTGAAGTTTGAGAAAAAAATTGAACAGAATAGTACATTTTATTAGGATTTTCTGAAATGTGATTTTGGAAAAACATCTTATTAAAAATAAAATCGAGACTTACTTTCTTTGCAAAATGAAGATATAAATAGAGTCCTGTTAAAATTACAGCGGCGAACAAATGAGAGAAAAATAAGTAATCAAACGATTCAGATCCTCGTGATTCTTCTGAACCAAAAGTGAACATTTTGTGAAGATAAAAAATATCAGAAAACAATTCTGAAGACGGCCAGGTGAAATTCTGAAAATAAAGAACTTTCGAAAGAGAAGCATGTTGCTTCTTAAGTCAGCCAAGACTCCAACAAATTGTGTGTCATTCGTTTCGAATCAAAGCACACGCCTGCTCGTTCAATGCAACAAATTTTCAGGATCAACGAAAAAAATTGATGGATGAAAATGTTTTTATTTGTCACATCGTTCGTACAAATTTCATTTTTCGAAAATTACTAATTGTTCTGGGATGGTCCAAATCCAGCTTCTCTTTTTCCATAGTATCCAGCATAAGCAGATCCAAGACCATATCCTCCATAAGCTCCATAGGCTCCGTATGCTCCATAGGCATTTCCATAACCTCCGTAGTAAGATGGATAATAGGAAGAGGCATATCCGTAGTATTGAGCAGAAGCTTCTTGGACAACTGAGCACAAGATGACGGAGAGGACACAGAGAAGGCTGGAAATGGATTTGATTAAAATTTTAACCTTCGTTAGAAAAAGGCAACTTACAATTTGGAGTTCATATTAGTGTTCTGTTGGAGAAGGATTCAAGAGTTCTTGGATGTTTCGAATGAAAAATGCACTTTTATATTGGGTTTTTAGTCGAGTTAATGTTTGTTCAACTTTTTTTGATTCCGCCAATTTTTTCACCTAATTTTTTATAGTTCGCAAACCTGTCAAAAGTTCATCAATGATCAGTAAAGTGCAAAATGAAAAGTTTCAAAATTTTGGAAAAACCATGGCAAACTTATTTTGGGATACGTAGAGTCGTCCAACCATACAAACGGATTTTTTTTTCAAAAAATGTTGGTTGGTCTGAATAACCAGTCCAAAGTTCGAATATTTTTGGCACTGTAGTTTGTTCGGAAAACGCAATGAGCAAATAAATAAAAGGGTATAAAAGAGAGTCAGAAGTCGGTAGTTGCAACAAACTATATTTGTCATCCACACAAAAATGAACTCCAAATTGTAAGTTTTCTTTTTTCTAAACTCATATGATAATCAAACTCATTTCCAGCTTCTCTGTATCCTTGCCATCATCATGTGCTCAGTTGTCCAAGAAGCTTCTGCTCAATACTACGGATATGCCTCTTCCTATTATCCATCTTACTACGGAGGTTATGGAAATGCCTATGGAGCATACGGAGCCTATGGAGCTTATGGAGGATACGGTCTTGGATCTGCTTATGCTGGATATTATGGAAAGAGAGAAGCTGGATTTGGACCATCCCAGAACAATCAGTAAACCACTTTCTCATGAATTTGTACGAACGATCTGACAATAAAACCATTCTCCTATCAAATGTCTTTTTCTCTGATTAAAAACTGTGTTTTTAAATTTTTGTGTTACGGAGAGCTGCAGTATTTATTTCAAAAAAATCTGGAGAACCTTTATTGGACCATCCTAAAGCTTATAAACTCACTTCCAGATCCAGATTTATTGAGCCTCTGATAATAAGAAGTGGATGTTAATTGCAGGGAAGTTTTTTTCAGCAGCATTACCTACGTAATAGATGATCGCACCCTCCAAACAAATATTCCACCATAAACTTCAGAAATTTTCAAAAAAAAACTCCACTCTTCAAAACTCCGATCTAGGGGTGAATAATGCTTGAATATGAGAGTGACGTAGTGACTGAAAACTCTAGCATGAGCTACTATTTAGAATTACAGGATATTCAGTATTTCATTGATATCGAGAACTGTGTCATTATCTTTTATATTGTTTTTTCTATCATACTATCAATAGTTTTAAAATGGAAGGTATGGATTTCAACATTCTCAACACTGTTGTATTTTTATTTTCAGTGTAAAGTATTTGAATCCAGCAATCATTTTACTCTCATATTTTACTTCTGCACTGCGGTAGTCATTCTTGGGAGCTTGTTGTATACTGTCACCACATTTACCCTACTGTATTTCAAAAGTATCAGACACATCTTCTTGATTATGTTTCTTTTTATTCAAATGGCGTTGAAGTTTTGCGCTCCTTTCATCTCACCAGTTATCACCACAATGACATTTCTTTACTCTTTCTCTTTTGTTTTTCAGAGAACTGAAACTTTGAAAACAGCATTTCAATCGAAAACTGGGTAGATTAATACAACCCAATACACTATTTAAAATGTCAAATTCAGATCTCGAACCATTTGGATAATATCTTCAGTGTATGGGTTGTGGGTCCACCCTTTTAATAGCCACAGTGAGTATTCATCTTAATAAAGCATAACTATTCAAAATTTCAGATAAGAGTGTGCTATATTATGACACCAATCACTATTTGTATCAGCTGATTTCTATAAATCTATTTGATTGTTTTATAATACTTTGTACAACAATACTGGTTGGTATCAAACTTTTGAATGTTTACAAACACCCGAAACATCTTTCAAATTATGAAATTGCAAGTTTAATTCATGTTACTGTAATATTATTCTTTCAACACGTTGGTCTTCAGGAAACATTCTCAAAATGAGACTATTTTAATTTCAGATTTTATTTATATTCAACCTAGTTATGCTAAATAGCTCTAATGTGGAAAGATTGGAAAGTTTGAAAAACGTTCTTATGGAAAAACGCGGCACCTGGCAAATTTTTTGCATATTTGGCCCATTTTCTTATCCATATTCAATTCTGTCCAGTGCGATGTTTTCAGGGCCTAAAACGGATTTTCATACAATGAGATCTGTTACTTTTGATGCCAGAAGAATGAGAAGCAATTGAATTTTTATTAACACAAATGAGAAAAATCATTTGAAAGTTTTGGAGAACGAGATTAATTGAAGCTGCGAGGGTTGGGAAGTGATATTGAGATCGGAAGATCAGATGTGTTTGAAGAAAATATGTTTCCAAGCGAGATAATGAAGCGGAACCGCACTCTGTACGACAGATTCATAGAGCTTCAGGTTATCCAGAGAGAAGACGTGACCTTGCGGAGCAGATGATGGGTTGGCAGATTCAATAGAGCTATTGGTGTGGTTTGGGATGGCTGGGATGAAGCAAGCACTCGTCAGCAGGAAGCACTGAAAACTTGTTTTTTTTCTTTTGAGAGATTCCAAGATGTCATTTTGTTTTTTTCTTCAATGAACTGCTAGCTTCAAATTTTGTTTTTCTCTTTTAAGATTTAAAAATACTAATTACCAGTTTGATCATGACAAAGAGAAGAGTCATGTGGAATCTGTTGTCTCGAAACGCAATTCGAAATGTCATGCGGTAACCGTGGAGACCGATGAAGCACATTGAAAGAGCCACTACAAATGCGTCGACGAAATTAAAGGACTGAAATATATAGTTTTTCGTTTTTGGTATTTTTGAATATGAGTACTGTGGAGATGTGTCCATTCTCGTGGTGGATTCGGCGGATAGTGACAATGTCTGAAAATCATACTTTTGGATGAAATCAAAACCCTACAACATACCCCAGGGATTAAAAGAGTTGAACAGAAAACCATAAATCAGCATCGCCAACCATATCACGATGTCTCTGGAAAACAAAGAAATGTATTTAGTAGCTGTGGTACTTTCTCACGAGGGAGTATACACCTACTATACGATTTACAATAATATGATTTCGTATCAGCCCACTCTCCTCTACATACTCACCTGGGAACATGGATATGTGGGAACTTGAGGGTTTCCGGTAAGTCGTAAGAGAGAGTAATCGAGTAGATCAGAATTAGAGGAACCATCCAATCAGCCATTGAATTGTGATAAACAAGAGAGAGGATGGTTGGAATGTATACAAAGGTGTATGAAGATAGAGTTGTGAATATCAAGCTAAGGAATCCAACGATGATAAGATTGGTAATCGGGAGGAACAGTCCGAAGAAGTGGAGCCATATTAGTGATGGAACGCATGGGAAGGAATTGAGTTCTTCAGTCTGTAAGAATGTTTTCCTACTTATTACCATTTTTAAAAAACGGGTTCTGTTATAGTTTTTTTGGAGGATCAACGTGCTCGGATAATATATATATAGGATACGATAGCACTCGACGAGTACTACAAAAGAAGATAGTTTTGAAAATTGTATCTTGGCTATGAACGAAGTTACAAGCCATAAACTAGATGAAACCTGCCCGGGCCCTTCCTGTTTTTTTGGGGCCGTTCTATAACTTTTTTATAAACAAGATACAGTTTTGCAAATGTTTTTGTAGTACTCGTCGAGTTTTATCATATTTAATTTAGTTGGTCAATAAACATTGATCCTAATGGGGTTATTCAGGGAGTCGGCAAAAAAGGAAAAAAAACTCCGCGAAAACTCGGAGAGTGTTCCAATCTGGCTGAAACTTTGGGGAAAACTGGATAAAACTATAGGAAACATTTTGCCGAAGTTTGGGATCAAAATGTCAACTTTGAAAATTTGGCTGGAATTTCGATTTTCAAAGTTTTTATTTTGACCCCAAACTTTGGCAAAATGTTTCCTATAGTTTTATCCAGTTTTCCCCAAAGTTTCAGCCAGATTGGAACACTCT